CTACTTTTTCATACGTTCAGCTGTGACAAGGGCAGCCTTATAACTCAAAAAGTAAACGGTACCTTTTTCTAAAAAATAGCATGGTATAGAGTACAAGTTGTGTACTATAAACTGCCAGAAATGCTGAAGAAGGGTACCGTGAAATTTGTTAACTTTTTAATCTCGGAAGTTGCCAGAATAAACACTAATTTCATAGTAAAGGGAATCTTTCTTTTTGATAAAACGATAAAATTTGTTCTTTTCTCTATTTGTTGTTTTATATCTCTCTCTATAGTGTGCACAGAAAGAAAAAAAACATCAAGTCAAGTACAGTACAGAAAAGAATATATACATACATCGTCATTCTGTTATACCATATTCTTTTTCTCAGGCATATTGAATAATACTGTTCTCAATTTTGTTTCCAATCAAATTACCGGTGAATTTATTCACCGGTGAATATTTTCACCGATGCGAATTTTGACGGCTTCCCTTAATTTCCTAAATTTTCAGTTTTCTAGCTATAACTACTGCAAGCATGCATCAACAACAACAGATTACATCTGATTTTACACTTTATTCTTATAGTGATGCACAGTGATTTATCTAGTGGGTGAGTCGAATGGGCGGCGCCCACCCGAAATTTCGATTCGCCCACCCAAAAATAAACAGTTAATTTTGTTTTCGCAAAAATAGTTTTAGCCAACAGCTCCTCCGAAACTTTCAACCACCCACTCGAAAAACGAAACCTAGATAAAACACTGGTGATGCATCTGAAAGTGGCAATTGAAATCTGTTTTTCATGGTTGGGTAAAATTTATTGTGCCTTTAAGGGAAGTCATCGAAATTCGTATCGATGAATTTATTCACCGATGAAAGTATTCATCAATAAATATTTCACCGGAAACTGGATTAAAACGCAAATTGATACAGTATTCTTCAATCTGTCTGAAGAAAAAAAAGTGAAACAATCGTAGTGACGTAACTACAACATAGAACATATATGTGTATATTCTTTCCTGTACCATGCTTGACTAAATTGATTTGGGAGAGAGATCTTTCAGCCAAGGGTAGAGTGAATCGAAGATGAACGTTATTTGTATATTTAACCGGCATCAACATGAAACACAACCGGCATAAACATGAAAGACACCGCCTTCCTTCTGATCTTGATTCCTTTCCGCCTTGATTTTTTTTTCTATTCTACTTCTTCGTATATAGCATGTTGTTCTCTTTCAACAATTAACCAAGAAATCGGTATATTTTGACCGCATGTTCATCTTTTATATGAGCAAGGAAGAGAGCGCTGACTGCAGATTTATTTCATATTCTGCCAACTTCTCGAATTAAAATTACATTAATTAAAGAAGACATATTTTCACTTTTTACATTAGTTTGAAGTACACCAGCTGTACACTACGCTGATCTATTTTTTATAAAAGGGTCTCTTTTAAGTTTTAACACAGATGGCTGTCAATATCACTGATTAAACTCAACACATGTATGGTTTTCAGCTTTTTCCGTAGTTTTAAATGACTACCGCCATTAGTTCTCCAAGTTGTTCACTTTATTCAGTAACAAATTACTATGTGTTACATTCGCAAAAAGACATATATATACACATCACCGAAAGTCCGAGAAAGGATTAGAAAAGGGTCTAATGACGTCAGAAGAACTGGTCGGAACATGGCATCATTAGGTCATGACGTACAAGAAGAATATGAAAGAATATATCATTTACTACTGGCCGTACTAATGACGTCAGTAGAACAGAGAGAAAGAGAAAGGCCACTATAAACATATGGCTTGCTTATATGATAACACATGATCTAAAGAATGAAACGAAAATAATAAGGACTTATTAACACCTAATTTGCTATGATATTCTTTGTTTAATAACAGATGTTGATCAAAAACAATTTCATAAGTTTTAAGATATAATTATGGAACTTATTCTAGGATAAATAAATAAATACATCTTACTTTTATTAGTATTTTGGGCTTTTACATAGAATCATAACAATGGACCACTACTTTCAGTTTAAGTCGATATTCTTATGTTATACTCTCTAACAATGCACAATATTATATAATACCAAGAACTAGTGTTTTCATTTCTCGAAATCCTAAAACCACTATCACCGAAAAAACTACCAGTCTCCAACTTCCATCGTTCTTGAAATATACAAGAGTTGGACAAAACGAGATTGTACAAACAATTACGCAGACAACCGATTTTGGTCATATAAACCTTGCTATCGATCAAAGGCATAAAATATCTTGCTCAGCTTAACGTAATTCCCACAAATATCACCACTCCGGTTCTCAAAACCGTTTCCTCGCGAACATATCGTCAAAATACTGAGAGGGATCTAAAAGCTGAAAAACGGCCGAAGCCATGTAGACGCAGTAGAGATTAACGAACACGAGATAACAAAAGAAGAAAAAATTAAAAGAGAGAAGAAAGCGTTTTTAGACAAAGATGTCCAGTTTGATAACGTCATTATTTCGTAGTTTCGATGAGTCATTATCAAAGAGGCTTTTGTTTGCAACAAATTTTCATTATTTACGTTAAATTCTACTTCTTTCTTCGAATCATAACAATGGACCACTATTTTCAGTTTAAGTTGATATTCTTGTGTTATACTCTCTAACAACGCACAGTATTATATAATACTAAGAACTGGTGTTTTCATTTCTCGAAATCCTAAAACCACTATCATCACTATAATACACGTGTAATACGGTATTACACGTGTATTATCTATAATCACTATAATACGGTATTATATAATACTGTGCGTTGTTAGAGAGTATAACATAAGAATATCGACTTAAACTGAAAATAGTGGTCCATTGTTATGATTCTATGTAAAAGCCCAAAATACTAAGAAAAGTAAGATATATTTATTTATTTATGCGAGAATAAGTTGCATAATTATGTCTTAAAACAAGGGGTCTTTGCATCCTCTGTAACGTGCCTTGATTGTATAGGATATTTGTAGGCTTGCCTTTATGCTTTTTTTAAGGTGAGGATGAGGTGCATATCGCCCCTTTCATAAGAAAAGTTGATAATTGAGCTTCTGGAAAACCTGACCGTCGGAAAACCGTACATGAAACATACGTAGAAGAGCGAGAGTGAGCAACATGGAACATGAAATATTTTCGTGAATAAACCCCATCGCCTTGAAAGGAAACGGAGAACTTCTCGTGCAGGAACCGCAACTTCTTGAGGCAAAAAGTATAATACTTTCGTGAAGAAACACCCAGTTGTTAAAAGTTTACGGTTCGAGTTACGTTTTTCTTAACGATAGGTTTATATAATTATAATATACATTGAATACAGATTCTATAGTAGAAAGAGCGACCCTTAGTTGCGCACTCTCGCTCTTCTACGTATGTTTCAATCATGAGTGCTCATTCTCAATGAATATTCAGAACCACGCAATAGTTAACCTTCATACTTTGACTGGATGGTCGACAGTCGTCGAGAAGTAATTGCTGTGAGTTTGAGGTGGAACTGATGTTTCTAGAATGAGTTATGAATTTTTCTTGGAAAGGGCCTCATATCCCTGTTCTTGACCGTCCACAGCACTTTGTTCTTGTTTAACATGAATTTCGTCACGAATATAACGAAAACATTGTTGCCTTTCATCTTCTGAACAGCCGGCTGGAAAAAATAAACAAATGCAAGTACGATCTGCTGCTTTGTATGGTTCTTTCACTTACGCATCAATTTGTAATAAGGATGTAAACATAAAGCAGCAAATTGCCGAACATCTGGATCAAACATTACGTATAATAGTGTAGCATACGTTGACGAAAATATCGAACACCTAAATAGAAACAAGCTGCCAAATATGAGAATTTAAAACAGAAGTTACGAACCAGGAGGCTCATCGTCATTATATTCATTAAATGTTAGCGATGGATTCTTCTTATGTTTTTTAACAAATTGAACTAAATCTTTGAATGATTTATAAACTTGTTTTAGTTTTAAAAGAAATAATCACCATATATAACGTGGGGTACTTTCCGGCCTGAATTACTGTCATAACTTGTTTCATGGGATATAATAGTAAAAGCAAATCTGTTATCGATGATTTGTAAATATTTTTAATTCTACTTTGTTGTTTACGACAAGTTAGAACTTTTCTTATATCTTCGTACGTATCATGCACAGATTTTAAACATTCATATAGAGATAGCCATGTAACAATAACAGCTTGTTTTAAACTTTTTCCACCACTTTCTCTAATTTCATTATTTAATCCAGCCTGAACAAACAAATAAAAAAACAATAGGTCTGAAATTATTATATTAGTTATTAAGGTATTATAAGCTTTAGTTTATCTCACTTTTTTAACAAATTTGACCAATCTTTTACATTCTGTGATTAAACGAAGTAGTTTTTGACCTTCAGTTGGGATTGTTGATGATATATTATGTGAAACATTGTCATCCTCATCTACTTGTTGCTCATCAGATTCCTCTGAATCTTCTATGGTTAATGTTGTGGTCGCGTCACTGATTAATGCATCTTTTTTACTAAATAATTTCTTTAAAATGTTATTGAGGCGATGAGCAAAGCAAAATATTGGTTTATAATCACAAAATCCTTTTACGAAGTTCGAACCACGATCGGATACCCAATTAACAGCTTGTAAATGTCGTATACCAAAATCAACAAGGATTTCTTTAAGCGCCTACAAAACATAAAAAGGAATGTACAAAATATTAAAAAAGATGAAACTTACTATGATAGTTGATTCAGCAGTTTTATTTGGTTGTAAATATGGCCGACAAAAAATTTCCAGCGAACGATAATGAAAATTCCGGTCAATAAATGATACTGTACCTCCTAAGTATGATAAATTGCGATAACGATCGGTCCACATATCTGGGCAAATTGTGATTGATTTGACCATTATTAGTTCTGAGAGCAGCATTTTCACGTCTTCACGTACTGATTCTGCTACTTTAGCTACGTTTCTAGAAATAGTCATTCTTCCTCGTAAAACGTCTTGTATGTCAACAGTACCAAGTCTTCCACCTTACAGAAGAAGATAAAGCATATGAAAACTTTCTAATTACAAAATGTTTTTTAAAGAAAACAATAGTTTCTTACCAATATTGATTAATGATTGAGCGAATATCAAAAAACCTGAATCTTCGACAATCGAAAATGGTCTCATATCACAACAGACCCAATCAATTAAATGTTGTGTTAATTTCTCAACTTCTTTATTTGTTACCTTTTTCGCAGTTGGAGTATTAAATCAACTTGTTAATGTTTGTTGTGTTGGCGATTTAGAGCATGCTGGAGATGCTAATAGTGAATTCGATGCTGAAGGATGTGATGTTGTTACTGCTTTAATTTCAGCTGCTAATAACGCTGCCAAACATTTGTGATCATTATATGTTGAAGTGCCGCTGGTTCTACTGTGAACAAACGTTTTGAAACATTTTTGACAAGATATAAAATTCGGGATTTGTCTAACTTCACGTTTTTCACCAACAATGAATATCTGTGATGGATGACCGAAAATTTTCCAATATTTTGCTGTTCTGGTTGCACTTGGTGTCACACAAAAATGTTGTTTGTCAGATGATAATTTAGCTTTAATACGATTTGTTATTGCTTTGATTTCTGTTCTTGTCTTACCTTCTAATGTATCATAAAATATTAACGGATCACACGTTGACAACGGAGTGAACTCATTTGCATCTTGTGAGTTGAACGACGAAGCTGAGGGTGGTGTGTCATCCATCTGAAATAATAACAAATCAAAAGCAATGTCAGTACTTAATGATTTATTTCGGAAAATTCTGCTTCTCTGCCTTTATTTTAGAAAAATAGGAAGATATATATAGTGTTTGTTTAATAGCGCAAAAGAGAAAACTCTTATACCCTAAGTCGGGATATACCAGTTTTTTCTGTTATCGTTATAGTCTTTTGTCATCTTCTATATACTATACCTAGTGCCCATACTAAAAGCAACATTACATACAATAAGAACGAAGTTCATTCTTTTTCTTTATTCTATATTTTTCGTTTAGTTTAGTTTACCCTTTATTCATTTACGAAAGAGAAATAAGAATTCTACACGGATGCGGTCTAGGCCATTATATTAGAGGAAAATGACATCAAATGATATAAGCGATTACGGATGAACCGTTTCTTTCCTTCATCTTAAAGTGTCTAGTAGATATACAAAAAAGCCTGTTAGTTAGTTTCTTTTCGTTAAGAGATCATTCTGACCTTCAGTGTGATCAGTATTTATCTTCGTCTCCTCTCTATTTTCATTCTCCACACAAAAACGTCTTTCCCTGCAGGGAATGCAGGTAAAACCTTCTTCCCTGCAGGGAGTGCAGGCAGGAAAACATTCTTCTTTATCTGCCGGCCGTTAGTGGAAATTATTTTTATTCACCTGCAAACTGCAACCTGCCTGCACTACCTGCAGCTTGCAGGCAGTTTACCATGCAGGTGATCAGCTCTGATCCCAGTACCTCATTTTCAGGATCCTTGCCCGTGAAATAGCTGTATTTCACTGATCACTAAAAGCCAACTCATAAAAGATTATATTGTAGATAGAGTAGAGTCATGGCTACATTTTAGTAATAAGAAAAAGTTTTTATCTCTCTTAGATCAGGAGCTATCGATATCTTACGAAAAAGCGGTGAATCGCTTATCTCTCATGAACCATCTAGTAAAAGAGGTTCAAACTTGGTGGGTGATCAGCAGTCGGCAAGAGCTATGATCACACAAAATTAGAAGTCAGACTAGTCAAACTGTTATGTATAATGTGTTCAGTACCCGATGCGCAACTAGCTTCAGCGCTCAATTTAGCGGTGAAGGATCACGAGGCAATGTACTAACCACACGTTTTCCTTAACGATAGGTTTCTACGATTATTTTTGTATAATTCTAATGTACATTGAATACAGATTCTATAGTAGAAAGAGCGACCCTTAGTTTCTCACTCTCGCTCTTTTACGTATGTTTCAATCATGAGTGCTCATTCTCGATGAACTGAGTGAAGAAACATCAAGTTCTTCATGAAAAAGTATAATATTTTCGCGCAAAAACACCCAGTTCTTGAAAGGAAACGCAGACGCTCTTGTGAAGAAACACCAAGTTCATCCCGAACACCGAGTCCTTCACGAAAAAATGTACTAATTTCGTCACTTAACACCAAGGCCTTGAAAGGCAGCGGCGAAATTTAATATTACATGAAAATATCATTTTAAATGAAGAGAGAATTCAAAAAGATCTATATTTACAATATTTAACATCGAAAAAAAATTGATTTGGTCGATAAAGTACACTGAAAAAATGAAAATAACCTGATTTTATCACGTGTTTCCCACTTTCGCTATTTTCCGCAACCTTTTTTTAAGTTTCAAGGTCATATTCGGATAGAGCATGGAAAACTACGTCGATCTGTATATATAAGTCATTGGATCAAAAACTCGTCATAAAAAAAATTCACCTACATTGAGAACAATATACGCCGTTTTTCCTGTTTTTTTCAGTTTTTAGCTAAATAAACTGGAATTATACGTCTGTTGAGTCCTCAATCTGTTTGGAGTTGATGGAACAATCGTTTCTAGATATATATAAAGTATTATTGCTATTAAAACTGGTTTTTAGGGTTGGAAGACACTGACTTCTGAACAAAGGTAAAAAACTTACCTTTGTCAGAGGAGGCAGTTTTTTCATTCAAATCACAATTTCATGCAAAACAAACCTTATATTCGTGATCAGCGTGGTTCATCACCATCAAAAATATTAAGACATAACGCGAATCATCCGAATCGTGAACCGTTCGCCCCACTCTTCTTACACTTCTTTTCCCGCCCCAAATTCTTAGAATTACACTTCTCCCATTTACTTTGTCCAGAAATGGAACGAATTTCCCCAATTAGTAATTATTTAATGAATTCAGAAAAGTTACCAAACCTTTTCAAGATCTTGATACAGAATTTTGAAGATACGTCAGACTCGCAACCGTAGTAAATCTCGATCGAGTAAATTTGCTGCTGCGTTGTTCTCATCGTCAACCACTTGTCTCCAAGTTTGCATGGAATCACTCAATAAACTATATATATTCTGAAAAGCTGAGAAGAAATGCTATCATTTGGTGAAAGACTTCAAGTGGAGAAATTCTTGTATCATTTCAAAAATTGAGGAAATGACATCGCTTTTTCACTCATGTCCAAACACTTCTTAAAACTTTTCGTACTAAATCCTCCTATAAATAAGTTTTATACCCATTTCAAAAGTACTTTAAGTTCTCTATCGACCGATGAGCAGTTTATTATACAGAGATGGGGCAAGTCTGAGTCTGAACTGATAGGCTTTTTCACACGGACTGGGACTGAAGGCATAAGAGACTTGGACTTTTTATTCGATGACTTTTTTACATTCGTGACTGAACTTTTCAGTTTAAAATTGAAAAACGATGAAGAGAATAAAGAAATGGAATTCGCTCTTTTATCTTTTTCATGTTACCGCGCGGTTGGTTAAGATTAGTTGTCATCAAAACAGGTGATGAGAAAATGTTCAAAAATTGCCTATATATCAAGAAAATTTGAAAAGAATAACGACTAGGTAGGATAATATATGACGATGGTAAGGTGTATTACTAATACAACTTTGTACGTATTTTGCCCAATTGTAAAAGCCTGCTAGGAAATGACGCCTAATGAACTTTGTAGTACTATGTTGACAGTCTTTGGAAAAACTATTTAAAAAGAATCTGACAAAGAATTTTCGAGCAGGGCCGTGTCCAAGTTGGGCTATTTCAAACAGTAATACATAATAGTGACGGTATAACTAAAAAGCTATTCGTGTTGAGAGGTTCATTCTGTTACCAGCTACATTTTGACCTTAAAATATTAGCATTTTTCTGAAATCTTGAACCACTTATAGCGGTCACAAAAAGGCCTATTTGACCATTGAGGTCCCACCTATGTAGTTCATGGTATTCTTGCAAGCACTGGTTCACCACCAACCGACTAATTTTTTTCAACCAAAGATATCGATGTATATGTTACTTGACATGCTCTATCTGACGAGTAAGTGAGATTCGCTTGGCTGAAACGTTTATATAAAGCGAGCGGTAAACATCTGGTAAAACACCTTACCCTTGAAAAGTCTAGTCACAAATGTGAAAAAAGTCATCGAAAAAAAAGTCCAAGTCTCTTATGCCTTCAGTCCCAGTCCGTGTGAAAAAGCCTATCAGTTCAGACTCAGACTTGCCCATCTCTGTATAAAAAACAAATTGACTAGATTTGTCTTGTTGATCTCTGTCGACCCACATCTTGCAGAAGACGAAAATCTGCACAAGTCCTTTAAAGATTCTGCTTCTTGAAAATGCTTGATCAATATCTTGATCAAGAATCTTCAAGAACATCAATTTCAGATACATCGACTAATCTCGTTCGAGATTTACTACGGTTGCGAGTCTGACGTATCTTCAAAATTCTGTATCAAGATCTTGAAAAGGTTTGGTAACTTTTGTGAATTCATTAAATAATTACTAATTGGGGAAATTCGTTCCATTTCTGGACAAAGTAAATGAGAGAAGTGTAATTCTAAAACTTTCACAGATATTAGTATTCACTATGGTACTACATTTTTGAGGACTCGTCCTTCAATGCTCTTATATTGCCTTTATTAACGGTAATATAACGGTTCCTCCCTCACTAGACTTATCTTTTTAAAAATAGCTTTTATCTACGAGCAATATGTTACAAATAACCGTTCGAAGGACAGTTTGAATAATGATAACGTGCCTGACAAAAGTACTTCGTTGACGAGACCTGCCAATTGTTGCACATGTGGCTCGAAGTTGACAACGAGATGATGGCCATCAATATAAAAAAGATTGAATTGGTTCGAAGGAACGAGTTGTGACCAGTCCTGATATGGTTCAACGGGATCGTGCGGCAGTGACGACTTGGCTTGGACGAAGTTGACTTGTGTCACTTGGCTCGTCACCCGTTCCGGAGAATAATCTTGGATGGCGCGTATGTTTCGTTTGGATATATACATATAGTGACAGATCTTGCGAAACTCAAGTTCCAAATCGTCACCATTACCAGATAATATTTTCTTAGCAATAAATAAAATTATATCAAATACGTGTTCCACATTTGTGGTTAAATTCAATTTATTACTAATGAACTTTAACGTGATAAAAGTTTGAATACATGTCGACAGTTTTTTAAATCGAGATAAAGCGATTCGTTACGTTACTTGTATAAAGGACGTGCACTGAGATGTTCATTAAAAAAATAAGTCTTGAGAGTATCAATAGTAAAGAAGCATATCAAGAAACATGTTACGTTAAATCTGAGATATTAACTGGAGCTATTTCTGACTTCATCCTTTTATTTCAATAAAAAGATGACGTCAGAAATAGCTGTAGTTAATACTTCAAATTTGATTTTAAAATCGTTGCTCTTTATTGATATTGAACAGTTTACGTTGCATAGAAGACTATCATTAGATAGTTTCTTAACAAATGATAGATAACTGGTGACAAAAATTACATAGTTATACATTTTTACTAAAATCAATAACTATTGTCAGTCCAAGAATTCAGTGGACTCGGATAATTTTTGAATAACTCAAAGACAATAAAAGATAGAGACTTGCGATTTTCGGAAGTTGAAAGAGGTTAGTTCAATCTATATTTTCTTAAGCAGAAACATTTTCTGAAAAAATCTCAGAATATACAGTGTCTGAACTACTTTATGTTCT